CCTTCCTTCCTTCCTTCCTTCCTTCCTTCCTTCCTTCCTTCCTTCCTCTTTTGCCCCTCTCTTCCCCTCCTTTTTGTCATTTATTTGCCTTCTCTTCAGCCACCCCTCCCTCTTTTTAGTCTCCTTTCCTTTCTTTTCTTCTGTTCTGCATGATTTTTCTGTGCTTGCGTACGTCTCACAGAGAATTCCTCTGGTGTCCCAATTACAAGATTCAGCAGGCAAATTGAGGCTGTTTAAAGCAAGGCCTGTTGGGAAAGGCTAGCAGATGCTTAGACACACAAACCAGCCATCGTGTTTGCACACTTACAAATAAACACCAACACACTCGTCCCATTTTTGAAGCACAGCCCCCCCCCCCCCCCCCCACACACACACACACACACTTCCTGCAGTTCAAATCTGAAAGATGTCACTCCATGCAAGATTGTCCGTCTTTTGTTTTAACTTTCGAGACAAAACCAAGGGTGGCATATTTTCACTATGGTGCTCTAACACGTGCACGCGCATTGTGTGGTGAGTTAATGGTCCTTATTTTTGTAAACCGAATAAGTCAAATCCATTGGTCACACCTCTGGTGATGGCATATTTAATTTGGATCTAGTCAATTAGGCCCAGCTAAGCTCCATACCCTGCTGGCTACCTCCTCCATTTTGCACTAGTTTGTGTCCCCTCTCTGTGCCAGGAGTAATCCTATTACCATACACACACATGCACATATCCTGTACAGTTCTACAGACCTGCATGGCTGTACAAACACCCAGTCATCAGTGTGAGCATGTACTTCATGTCTAAATGTTGTGCGCTATACATGTAGCTATAGTTCATTGTTGGGTGTGTAGCACACAGAGACAACAACGAGCTTTGAGTACAATTGGACTCAGAGCCACTTTAAACACACTGTGCACTGTGACACCACCGAGCCTGTGTACATCCAGAATTATGTGGGAGTCTGTTTTGCCCTGGGGCAAGAGTGAGGGAAGGAAAGGAAGGGGAGGGAAGGGGATGGGAGGGGAGGGGAGAGAAGTGAGAGAAAGAAGGGAAAAAAGCCACAAAAAAAGAAAAAAGGTGTGCAAAAGAGATGGAGGAGGAAAATTGACAGTGAGAAAATCCACAAAGAGGGGAACCAGACAGAGCAAGCATTAGAAAGACAGAGAGAAAGTGGTGGTGGTGGTGGTGGTGTGTGTGTGTGTGTAGACTGGGGTGGGGGGGTCCCTGTAGCTGGTTAGCATGTGTGTATTAATGTAGCTCATGCATCAACAGCAACCCGGCAGATTTATGACACTTAAGGGGCACTCACTTCTCTCTCTCTCTCTCTCCTTGCACCAGCAACGACTGCTTACAGTTTTGCCAATCAGTCTGTTGCCATAGTAACGTTCTACCTGCCCCCCACCCTAAGTCCCCCACCCATCCCCTGTCCCAACCCATCCATGCCTTCTTTCCTTCCCATTGCCCCTCTCCTCCTCTCCCGTGTACCAAACCAGTGGATAAAATGTTCAGTTGTCCCTCAGCACTGTATCCTGAGAGTGGAACATTTCCCCATTGATTAGTATTATTGATGCTGCGTCTGCATGTTGTTCTTTTGTAACCTCCTTCTATTGTCATTTGTTTTTGCTTTTCTCACCTCCCCTGACTGATGTGAAAAACGTTTCGTTCTGTATCTGTTGGATGTGGGAAAGAGCAATACACGTGCACAGACTTTACATACACAAAGAGTTACAAGGATGTGATCAAAGGCTCTTATCACCATGCAGAGGGTGGGAGAGTCAGAGGAAAAGTAACAGACGAAAATCTGCTGGGGAAGAACATGAGCCTGCTTGTATCGACAAACTCCATTTAGACATGTAGAAAATCTAAACAAGTTATTTTCAAATATATTTGTTCAAGGAAAATCTTTTTGCCAGATAAGAACAGTAAAATCCATGTTTATGTGACAACAAATTCTAATATTGTAGGCACATGCCTTGATGTGCATGTTAAAAAAATAATTTTTTATTGATAATAATCTATTTTTGAGTCTCATATCTACTTTTACAATGAGGAAAAAACAATTCTGCTGAACAAATAAGAAACAAAAAGATATTGTGTTGGTTCAAGACCATGTGTTTAAGTGTGTACTTACATTTCCCTTTGTGTTGTGATTGTTCAGGCTCAGGTAGGGCTACATGTAGTGCCACTGGCCTTCCATGCCCATGTTCATGCCCATTCCACCCATCGGCCCTATAGAACAAAAAAAAAAGGTGTTTTATATATGTAAACAAACATACAAACAATATAACATAAAAAATACAACTACATGTTTTCAAGTTGTTGTTTGTTACGTCAGTAAGATTTGTTTTAATGTGCTTTAGCAGAGTCCCTGTTTTACTGTGAAGCTCGTCTCAAATAGCAGAGCAACAAAGCTCTCTGATTCGAGCAGGAAGAGGTGTGTGAAAATGTTGAAGACGAGTACAAGAAGTCAGCTGGCACTTTATCCAAACCTGCTGACTTTAGGTGGAGGGTGAGACTTGAGAGAATCCCAGAAAACAGGGGATATGGGAGGAGGAGGAGAGCTTAAGGACAAACTCTGGGATTAAACCTGATGGCGTGAGAGAGCGGCCGAGTTTGAAGAAGTGGGGGTGAAGAAGACGATGGTGGTGTAATGAGATTGAACACACCTGTTTTAGTGTGTTCAGGATGGTGGGGGAGGGGTGCACTCTTTGTTAGAGAGGACAGATTCTACTATCAGCCAAAACACCAGACGACAATCCACAGTTACTAATTGAATTTCAAGAAACACAGTTATAGTATGCTCCCTGCAACCATCCAACATAATCTATCTTCTGCAAAATGCACACTGAGTACACGGCTTGTTTTCTATTGAGGTTGTGTAGCAACATTTAGCTGACATTGGTCGAACATTTGAAGACTGATTAGTTTGTAAAATAATAAAAAATTAAAGGATATGAAGCTTGTTGGCATGCACAGTCAAAGTACAACAGTGCAGCAAATTAATCATATTTCTGTGATCTAATACTTCTAACAGTTAAACTGACCTAAACCTTTAGATGAGCAGACAGAATAATAATTATTTTTATTTCTGTAAGAAACATTCATTGTAATATTTTGTTACAAATCTGGCAAAAAATAGTTTGCACCTACTTTAGTTGAAAAGCGGCCGTGCACTGTTGTAAACTGATACAAAGGTCACAAAGAACTTGTTTTACTTCTCTCAAGATTTTCTCAACAGCTCTGGTTTTCAGTCATTTATTTCAAGTCGTTCTGTTTTTGTTTGAGAATGAACTGACATAGTCCATGGGCCATTTCTGAAGCATAATGATACAACAAGGACATGGGGGACATTGTGTCGTAAAGTACACCACAACAGAAAATTACTAAATGGATGGGAAGGATGAAATGAACTTGAGGAGACAAAAATAAAAAATAAAAACAATGATAGGGCAGAATGTAGGAAAGCAAATAAAAACGAGGCAACCAAAAGACAGAAGTAATATCCGTAGACCTAAGGAGGAAAGAAAAGGACAGACACGCAGAGAAAGCCTTACCAGGTGGTCTGATTCCCATGTGCTGCTGGCCGTCCATGACGAAGCCACCCATTGGCTGGCCATCTGGATTGTAGGGCGCTCCTTGACTTACTGTGGATGGAGGCGAAGACAAGGTGGGAGGGATAGAGGGATTGGAGGGAGGGAGCAGAGTGGTCAATTAGTCCTTTTAATTAAAGCTCAGCAGCCGGAGCAGGATCATCTGCTGGCTGGTGCACGCACAGGAAGCCACAGCAACACTGTACACATAGCTTTCCACTGTAAGCCCCTGGTAGACTTTAATGCATCTAAATGCTCTAAAAGGGATCAGACTAAGAGTTTAATATACACTATCGTACTTTGAAGATTCCATGGGACTTTGATTTAAATGCAATTACCTAATTATAAAAACTAAAACTAAACCTATTTAGCATATTAGCATAACTCAAGTTTTTTAGCAGTAATTTTAAAACTAGTCAGTCAGAACATACTATTAAGACTTCATCATAACAATCTGTACACAGTGTTTGTGCTCAGATGCCATCTGTTTGCACGACCAGTCAACATGTATATTTTAAGGTTCGAGGGCATTTTCACATTTTTTATCCAAAACATTTGACCTGTTTAATACAAACTGCCAAGTATACAATGTCCATCTACCTAATGTGATGTTTAATGAAGAACATGTTGGCACATAATCCGGCAATGCTTTTAAAGTCACTTCTACTCAATGTATAATTGCATATATATGGTCAAAGATCCCAAATGAATTCCAGAAGCTCCAACCAGTTTTCAACAAAAGCTCATTCTCAGTGAGTGGCCCCAGAATCCAGTGCTATCTAAATGCTTTATCTCATAAATACTGCCTAAAACTGAGCAGCAAGAACAAGTGAAATCTGATACGGTTCTTATTTTTTGGCTTCCCTCCATTGTTCTGCTCTCATAGAAGACCACTTACCTTCGATTTAGGCTGTTTGGGGGTCAGTCAAGCAAAAGCAAGACCTCGGCCCTCACTGAACGCCTTTGAACTTTACTGCACACCCCTAATGCCACTTTGACCTCTTACCCCTATTACAGGTAATAAAGTTTACAGCAGTCCAAACCAAGACATGCACCAGAGGGGCCGCTCACTTATTCCCTTGCACCCAGAAACTGTCGTAAGTAGAGCTGAGGGAGGGTGTTTAAAGGTGTGGGGAGGGATGAGGGTCAAAACAGGTCTGGAGCTAAAAAGCCAATCAATGGTCACACCTCAAAAAAAGAAACCAGGGCATAGTTTTTTTATGTTGTTGGCTTAAGCCAAGGAGGAGGGATTGTTGTTCTTTTTTTTTAACATGGCTTGCAAAGCATAAATATAAGGGTTGAGAACACTGACAATATATTTTACAAGATTCCCAAGGTTTTCAGTTCCAAAAATTATATTTGTCAGTTAATATATTTTCCCCTCACGTGACAGGTTTATTAATAGTTGCTGTTAATATTGTAATGTTTTGCCTGTTAACTTTGTTGGTCAGTAATGATAGAGAAGAGGACAGCCCTTAAGTATTTGGACATTACAAAAAGGAAGCATCTGTTCTGTATTTTTCAGCCGAGAGGCCTCTGGGTGCACTGACTGTAGATGCTGAGCTCTGTGTGACTTGAAAATAGTAACTATAGGTGACTTGCCTGCACGGTTTGACTGGTCGATCATAGGCTGCACTATTCTCCTCCTTGCATTGATGAACCTGCAAAAGGTGAAAGAGAAAGGAGGCCCGGGATGATTAAAAAAAGGAGGGATGGGTAAAAGAAAAGGAAAGGGAGGAGACAAAAACACAGAAACAGTCAGAGTTTTACTCAAAACAAGATTAGGGAAAAATGCTGACTAATACCCTGAAAACCTTGGCATCCAGCAGAAAAACAACCACATTTCCAAAGCAGCCTCTTTTTTTAGCTAACCATAACAGTGATAAGGAGTAATTACTTTCCCATAAGCATCGCTGAGCCCCAGTAAAGCCCTCATAGAGCTACAGAGAAAGTCACATTTTAACAATTTTAACAACTAAGGAGTTGTCTTTGAAAAGTCAGAACTTCACAACTTGTGTGAACTTGCCTCAACGCAATCTGAACACTGGGGTCTTTGTGGGGCGAGGCTTTACTGGGATTTTCTCTCTGCCTGTCTGAAACATTTCAGACAATTTTTTTCTTTTTTTTTTTTGGAGATGTTCTGTCTCACAACGAGCTGAGATTGCTGACTGGTTAACACGCTCGCTCGGCTTCAAACGTGGCAGTGTGGCAAGTGTTGCTGACAGAAACATGTCACGTTGCTTCTGGTGAGAGGCATTGTTTTGGGCGTTGCTCTGGTACGACAGGTGACCCAGTGTTACTTTTTTAGTGCGTTTCTGTTTTGACTGAGGCAAGATTTTGCAAATATTTCCCTGGACTCTTTACTAAAAGCATACAATCAAACCATTTATTGAGCGCAAACACACACACCGTCACTCATATTCAAATCAGCTTCTCACTTTTTTCCCGCAACACCCCCCCCCCCACCCCCACCCACACAGCTAATCCCTCTCCCACTCTTACGTGTATTCACAGCCATTAATGCCCTCACAGAAGAGCTGCTCTGGCCTTGCTCAGGCTAACCCCGTTTGAAATGACCCCTTGGCCTGTAATGACCTCAAGGAGAGAGGACTCTTGGGGCTTCTGACTTGATTTATGTGTTCCTGCTGTTGCCCCACCAAACACTTCTATTTCATCTCTGAAAAGGGGAGCATTAGCTGAACTTAAGGGGAACAATAGTACTGCTAGACTTTTAAAAAGCTGGAAAACAGCATTTATGAGCTCAAGGGATTGTGGAAAAGGAGAATAGAAACCAGAAGTTACAAACGTGCTGCATCTGTTTCTACAGTGATGAGTGAATGGAGCACTTTTACTTTTTATTTCTTTAATAATCCCTTTTCAAAAGTGCATTATGTATGTGGTTATTCCATTTAATTATTTAAAAAAACAGAGATGTTGGAAACTAAGTAGACAGACATGGATTGCATTATTATTATTATTATTGGGCAGCGTGGTGGTGCAACTGGTAGAGCTGTTGCCTCTCAGCGAGCAGGTCTCTGGTTCAAATCCCAGTCCAGGGGTCTTTCTGGGTGGAGTTTGCATGTTCTCCCCGTGCATGTGTGGGTTTTGTCCGGGTACTCCAGTTTTTTTTCTCCCATAGACCAAAAACATGCGAGTTAGGTTGATTAGTAACTGAATTGTCCCTAGGTGTGAGTGAGAGAGTGAATGGTTGTTTGTCTCGTTTGTCTCTATGTGGGCCTGTGATGGACTTGCGACCCGTCCAGGGTGTACCCCGCCCCTCGCACAGTTATTGCTGGACATGGGCACCGGCGACCCCCGTGACCCAAAATGGAAGAATCGGGTAAAAGATAATGGATGAATGGGTTATTATTATTATTATTGTTGTTGTTGTTATTTTATTTTTTATTGATTTATTTAAATAATGATCTAATGATATATTTTTAGCTGCTTCAAAAACGTTTTTTTGATATTGTGTTGTTTGTGATGTTTTTTTTTTTTTTTTTTGCTTGTTGTGTTTTTGTTTTTTTGTCAGACAAAGTGCATTTTGTCTAATGCAATAAAAAATAAAAGAGGATCTCATCACCGGAAGATGAGCCTTTGGATGTTTCATTCTGTTTTTGTTACAATAATCTTTATTGAAGTGGAATTTCAGGGGGTCAGAAAGAAATAGAAAGAGGAAAGAATGCAAGAATGCTCTGACATGGCAGAGCACCATCAAATGAGAGAACGTCTGGAGTTTTATCACCAACGCTCTCCCCCTCTTTTCCTCCCCTGCTACCCTGTTTTGCTGGGGGAGATATGGGGAGGAGGAGCGAGGGCAAAGAGGGCTGAGGAGGCCCGAGCATTCCTTTTACTCTCCTCTCCTCTGCTCTCCAAAGCCTTTACACAAGGTCAACTTGAGGCCAGCAACAACTAACTATTGACCTCTCCTTCTCCACCTCCTTCCTCTTGATGTTCACTGATTCCTCCTTGCATCCCTTACTCTTATTTATGTCTGTTCTTCAAACTCTCATCAAATTCTCTGATGCAACAAATGAGGTTGCAGGAGTGTGAACCCTCTGTGGACATGAGGTAAACTCTGAAAAGCATTTGTGTTGGAATCATTAAACAACAGCGACTCAGCCTCTATATCTGTTTCCTTCTCCTGCTGGCTCCCTCCTTATCATTCCTTCCCTTAATGGTGGAAAACGACAGCCCAACTCTGAGCAACGAATCTACAGTCTGACCCCCCAACTCCCTCCTCCTCCCCTCCTCTTCTCAAAAACTCATGCCGGTTTCCTGTCCCTGTCGTCCTCATATCTGAGGCCAGATACACCATGGGGCCTGGAACAAAGGATAAAATGCCTCTCATAATAGCAGCCAGGGGAATGAAGAGATGGAGAGCAGGAGAATGGTAGGGAAGGAGGAGTAAAAGAGCAAAGGGCTCTGTTCTGCAAACCAGACACTCTTGCTGTGACCGTTAATAAGCTGACACAGAGAAAGCCTAGCCTGCGATAGAGGGAGACAGCCATGATGAGGGAGATGGAACGAGAGGAAAAGAAAAAGAGAGGACTCGGAGATAGATAAAGAGTGATGGAGAAGAGAAAAAAGTGGCGAAAAAAGAAAATCAGAGTGAGGCTTCACCTTTTCACGACCCCTGGGTTTTATAGGGCCAGTGTTTATGGCCTGTTCACTCCCCTGCCTCCCATCACAACACAATGAGCTTCACTATTCAGCCCAACACTGAGCAACAATAGCTGGGCTTTTTCAGAGAGAAACTCCATCGGTGATACAAATAAAGTTGAAGGAAAAATAAAAAAAACACCAAACGCAGGGAAAGGGAACGATGACATGTAAAGCTCAAAATGTGTAGGAGCTGGATTCCCATCAGGGGCACATATGTTTGACACGTGCATGAACCGATCATACAGTGAATGAAAACAGCATGTCAGCCATATGTTGTTGCCAGATTTCAGTCCACTAAAGTCATGTAAGGAGATTGGGTGTGTTTTATTCTTCTTGTCTCCGACATTTTTCCTCCTTTTGATTTTGCTAATGTCAGAATTAAGTCTCAAATCGCTCTCCATCCTTCAGCGGGAAGAGTGGAACTGATTGCGACGGCGTCTGCCAAGCCCTTGCTAATGTCCTATTCTCATTACACCCGAGACACATCCACATCCACACACACACATCCACGACATACTGAGTCAAGTCAGCTGCACACAGGTGTATGCAAAGCGCACGTGAAATGCCCAATTAAAAGCAAGAAATTGTCTTTTTCATCAGCTGCCTTTGTTGCGTGACCAATTAGGGGATAATTTAATAACGAGTGGTGGAAAGATGCAGATTGGATATACAAAAGGTTACTCCACGAGCTCATTGATTTAAATTCATGTGGAGTTCTCAATAGTTGTTGCGCACGTTCTCGCACGTGCACGTCTCCAGAGCCTACAACTCGTATTATATTAGTAATACGAGACACACTGAAACACACACATGTGCACACATCCCCGGCACTCAATACCAGTTAGTAACCTGAGAAAATTTGCACACTCGCAGCCTGCACAAACCTCACATTTGCACACAGCTGGATATGTCAGCGTCACCTACATTCATCAGGACCAGTCGGTGGATTTCAGCGCATGTGGACAGAAGTTTACATGCATATTCATATCTGAGAGACACTTAAAATAACTGTGTAACCACACACTCCTCGTGGCTGCCAATCAATGTGATTTAAAAGACAACAAGAGAAAGCAAGCTCTGACGGGTAGTCGTGCACTTATCATCAGGTTGTCACTACGTGGCTAACATCAATTGTCTACTGCTCAACCACAATTAACGCCCGATTCATATATCCTCCCTACACACTGACAACACGCACAACACACACATAAATTTGAAATAAAACAATTTATGTTCTTTCTTTTGTTGAAACATGTTCAAATAAACCCTGATTTAAGGACTATGATATTGATTTGCATTATTTATGTCAAACATTGTATATTTACATTTATGCACATGCATAATTGTAATTTCCAGCAATAAATCACAAATATAAAGTATACTACAAGACTACATATGAAAATTAGTCTCTTAGGCTAAATCTGGCATATTTATGTGATGTATTCATGTTGATTAATATGCATTGTCCCTTTATGAAATAAACATAACATAAAACGTAACAAACTGCTAGCTATAACTCTATACACCCCTTTTTGTAAAAGCTAATGCAAATTCTCATCATTATTTTCATGTACATGTTTTGAAGCATACTGCAGGTGTGTGTGTGTGTGTGTGTGTGTGTGTGTGTGTGTGTGTGTGTGTG